TTCTTGTACACGTTCAGTCCCCGTTCGTCCTGCCTTGGCCGCTAGGCACGTGCCCTAATGACGTTATAACGAAGCCAGCACCGACACCAGGGGAGGACCAGATTTGCCCTGAGCTCACAAATTGGTCTTTACCATTGGTCAATATTGACACAAACTGATAATTACAGCTAATAAATTTCGATTTACACACGCGCGTTTGTGTGTGGCATGCCTGGGCAGCATTCTCTTCTCCTGCTCCTTCTCTGAAGCATTATGCGGTGTCACGGACCGCCGACACACATGGTCGTGTTTTGATTCACCCCGTCCACCGCATCTCGCTTCGTCATGCATTCGTCATACCGTGCAAGTGCAGGTATTGGAGTCCCGCGCAGATGGAAAGAAAGGGGAACCAAGTTTTTTTCTATACATCCCCAAATGTGGATGGCAACCCAGGCGGGCGTGTAAAATGTCCCTGGGTGTCGGGTAGCCGTGTAGCTTTTTAGTCTTGAAGTTGCCTGGAGCGACATCGCACTCAACCGACTTACCACTTTAGCCGTCGCTGGTGAGCTCCCCTCCCCCCTTGTGACTGTGAGGCCCCGCCTGACCGGGCTGTCATATCTCGGAATACCAATTATAGCATGTATAAAATGTCCAAGTGAGACAAGAACAAATAAGCCCGGCATGATAAATTATTCCTCAAACACGTCCGTGTTTATTTCTGTTGCCTGTTGGTGCTACAGTTTGCTTTGGCCCAGCCTGGGCTGGGAGTGTAAATACATCAGAGCCAGGCTGCCAACCCGTCCTTAGCGTAGCTTCAGCGGTGACATGTGGAGTTCCTGTCTCGCTGATCCTCCCCTCCCATAAGACTGACCGGACAACATTAATCACCCCCGCGTGTGGCGAAAGGGTGACACTTTAGGAAACAGAAGTTATGTTATTGATTTTCAAGGGATCAGTTGCTTCCTGCGAGTAAAAAAATGCAAACGAGAGAGCCCAGGTCATTCACTGACAAGACTTGACCGAGACCCGTTGGAGACGAGTGTAACTTCTCCTGACCCAATTTCTAACGAGTGCTGGCTGTTCACACGATATCTGGTCCTCTGAAAATCTGCCTTTGGAAGAGCCAGACTGTCGTGTTTATATATATCTGTCAGACAGATTTCGTCTTTGAGAATGTTAAGTGTGGCTATTAGAGAGATCGTTATTTTTTCTTTGTGGTGAATGGAAAGGAAGAAATGACTCGTTGAGCAAATACGTCAAAATCTGAACATTTTCCGGCGGAAAAAATAAAAAGTTCCATTGTACGTCTCTTTCGTCGGGGGCTTTCTAAGGCAGTCAATATTCTGGTTGAATGAAACGGGGCCTTGGACCAAACACGCAGACAATTCGATCTGTTTACACGCTTGCCCATCTCCAGCCGTATACACAACTAAACATACGACCTTGGCAGCAATCTTCAACCGACTCCTGCACACATGTTGGAACGCTGAACTGTTTAGTCGGCGAAATAGTTTCATGGAAATAAAATGGGCCGCACGGACCCCCCTCCCCCAAATCTGTATGATACTTGTATCACACAAACGCTCGAGATAGACGCCTACATACTCACCATTTCCTTCCTCGCATGATCAGGCGGGGAAATTTTACCCTGGTTCGGTCTGTAAAGAATTTAGTTCGGAACAAAAGAAAACTGGAGAAACCCGGCATAGGGTCTTTTCGAAACGAGTGGATTAGGCTTCGTCTTTGGCTTTGCTGGTGCCAGTCAGATCCTCTGCATGCAGTTTCGAATGCCGCCTCAAAATTACTGGAACCGGCGAAGCCGAAGACTAAGCCTAATCCACTCGTCTCGAAAAGGCTCATAGACTCATTCTTCTGGAAATGCATTCTTCAGACGGCACCAGCTGTGGCGAATTTCATGGAGAAACAGCCACGTCCGAATTTCGCGTCTAGAGCTATGTCTTTGTCGTTGTCGGTTTACTGACAAGAGACACAGCCGTAGCTCCGGAAGCCCGTTTTGTTCAGACACGGCCTATTAGGCACAGAATTTTTCTCTGCGCAGATATGAAAAAAAGGAGAAAGACAGCTTATGCGATGCCAACCAACGGTGTCACGTGATGATGCGATGCATATTCTTTTGGTGTCTTTTCCCAACAGTTGTTTTGTTGTTTACACAAAGCAAAATAATCGTCGGCCTATCTTCCTCTCAGTAGCTCCAAGACACCGGTTCCAAGTCGAGAACGTGTGGTTTTGATTTTTTTTGTTTCTCATTTGTCAGTCATCGCCATTATCTGTTGTTTAACGTTCACATGAACACATTTCCTCTGTAAATTGACCTCCGTCGGACATGATTTACACTGTTATAGTTTTTGGATCCAAAAACGTTTGACTCAAGTAAAATGGAATGAAGGCGCTTGCAGGAGCACAAACGTTACTTTACATGGCTAGTTGGGACTTGTCTTTGTTTTCATGAGGTTCAGAAAACTGAAAGAAAATACTCGTTTTGCTCGAAGTGTGAACACTCTTTCAAGCTGGATGTTTACTGATGGTACTGCTGACCGTTCCTGTTCATTTTACAACGAATAACCCAGCCACAAATTGCCTCTAAATTTGTTTTTGAGAGGGGAACCTTGTGTGGCCCAGAATAAGCCAAAACAAGGTTCACACAACCTACAATGTGGACCTGTTATTTTCCCTCTGTTCTACATACATGGATAATGATGACAAGGTCGGTACAAAGTTTCCATCCCGCACTGTCGCCCCGCCGCGGGTGAACGGACGTTACATGTCCGCAGAGCAGAATTCTGTCAACGCGATGGACCAGAAGCGACGAGGCTCAACCGCAGCGTTGGGTCCAGAGTAAAGGGGCGGCATCAAACCAAGACAGTGTAGCATTTCCCGAACAAATAAATACAGCCAGTCTAAGAAAAATGAAAAAAAAAGAGAGAGAGAGAAAGAAAACACAAGACATGAACCCTTTAGTCTACAATCAATGAGCAAACATGAAAGATGGAAAAACTGACTGACATGAACGTCATAACGTAAAAAGATTTGTACGTGAGGGGTGCTTATGGTGGGGGGACAAACACGAAAAAGTCAACTTCACATATTTCTAACACTTTTGATACCAATGAGCGTGGACAGGCTTCCGTGCTGCCCTGTATACCGTACATTTAGAAGTCTCAGACGCGACATTTAATATGTACACGTATTAAGAACTAACACAGAACACTGGTTAAAAAGATACTCCTCGTGTGCAGCTAAGAAGATTAGTTTCTTTAACATTTGTAAAGATACAGTGTTTTGAGAATGTGCACTTTCACGCACTGACATGTACATGTAGTTTGACTTACAAGCCTGGTGCAATCACTGAGCTTTATCGCTCAAATTGTGTGGAACATTCATTTTAAGCGGCTTTTATGTCGATTGTATTTTGAATTCTGCAAGCAACGGCGGGACGTCCGCCTCGGCGACACGGACACCTCGCCGATACACTCGGCCGCGTATCCTACACCGCGCCCGTCGGCCATAAATTCTAGTTCGTCACCTCGGACGGCCCTTCCGTCACAGCTGTGTGGATTTTGACAACGATTTGCAAATAAACACGCCGGTAAACCATGCAAAAAGGTTTTGCCGCCCTTTTGGAACTCGGTGGATGTGTTGTTTTCGTTGGGAGTGTGTGCCATCGAGTGATGAGGGTTCAACTTCGGCGCGTTTGCCGAGCAGGACGCGGCAAACTCTTCTGAGCAACTGTCCCCAACACTTCACGTGCATGTAACGTTGCTGTACACTTCGGTGATTCTTGTGTATAGTAAATTCAAATCGTCACATTCAATCGTTGTGGTTTTTCCACAATTTTTGGTGATGCTCTGAAGCAGATTTGTGCACTGCTTTGTCAAACGTTTAAAAAGGAAGCTCTCCATACCTGTCTTTTGTACTCTTTCCTGATAGTTTCTTAAAATCTGAATAAACCAGTCAGGTAATTAATTTTCGTGTTGGAATTGATGACATAAACGTGCCATGTCTGTTCAGCTTCAACTCAGGGGGTCATATTAAGAGTCATATAAAATTGATTTCAGAATGAATGTTGTTTATGAAATTGAAATTACGGTATCTTTGTCATCGGAAGAATTTTATAAAAACCTACTGATACGATCGTCACAGAGCCATTTCTGTGAGCAGTCTTAGAGAGCCGGCGGCTTTTTTTTTCGGCAACGCATTATCCCTTGTACGTATTATGTGCATCTAGCGATCCCAACCCAACCCCAACCAGCGATACACAAATACACAATAGTTCTGTGACAGACACGAAAATACTTGGAAGCAAAGCCATCCACGTACAGGCATGTTTTAGTGCGTGTGCGATAGTAAGTTGGAATCTTTGAATTACTTGCTACATATGGTTGACCTGCATGGGGGGGGGGATCTCGTATTTCAGGGGAGATAAAGCGAAGGTCCGAGAGATGGTCTTTGATTATATTGGTCTCATCTCGCGTCAGTTGGCGAATGGTTGCTTGAGGACGGAGGAAGTAACGGTGACCCAGTGAGGAGGGCCCTCGGAGCCCATTTCTTGAGGGGAGGGATAGGTACGCCCCACGAAACAACCCTTCCCCCACAAACGGCTGAGGTTGCTGGTAGAATGTTCACGTTTCTAAATTTTCGCATTTCAATCGTTTTTTATTTAATTTATGCTCCAAAATACTGAAGTCTCTTTGCAAAGAGGACATTTCATACATTTTTAACTTGCAAAGAAGAAAGGGGAAAGAATACTTGTACTTGTAGACGTAAAAGTACTTTTATGTGAAAAGGGGAAAAAAATTATGGCAGATCCGTGAATCTGTCAGATTTACTGAAATGTTACGCCTGTATCATGTCAGAACGACAGAGAACTGTTGCAGAATGACGTCCCATCTTCCAGTCCTACCTGTCTCTGGATGAACAATTTTGGTACTATACATGTTGTTCGAAATAAAGAGGATTACTTTTATGCCACACAGTTTTCATTTTTTTAAAAATCAAACCAGGACCATTTCCGACGGGACTCTACGCAACATCGGCCGCAGAGAACACCGCCCTGGCGCACGCTCACTCAGTCTCTCTGGCGGACTTCACCCGACAGAACATGCCTGGGAGCTGCGGTCTCAAAGACGCCATGTCAACCACGCCAAGCAACCTCCATCAGCAACACCAACGACCAGATGGCAAGAGAATGGTAGGTACTTGCTACCATTCATGCCCTGTATTTTTTCTGTCCCTTTGCTTACCAGTGCTGAAAAACATTTGTTATAAGATGAATATTTTTTCTCCAAGTACATGCAACTTTTTTTCCAAAATAACTAATTTAACACTTGGAACCCTTAACTCTTGTAGTTCAACCGCAGTGAAAAAGGACCCATCTGTAAAGCTCACGATGACGCTATCACTTTGAACTTTGACTTTGTCCATTGCCTCTCAACGGTAGTGGTGATGTGCTCCGGAGGATGGGGGCGGGTCTGCAAAGGCCAGCGCAAATGAGGTCCTTTATGATGGATTGAAACATGGAATTAAGTCCCACCATGTATTGAACTATCCTGATGTGTCGAGCTTCATCTTAAAAACGTTTTGATTTCACTCGTCCACTCGGGGTAATAAGTTTCATATAAAGTCAGGATAGTACAACGATCTTGTTCTTAGGGCCAGGTCTAGGTCCTTTCCGATTGCAAATATGTAGACAAAATGTCGATAACAGATGCAGTCATACCTCTGAAAGCCTGTTTGGATACAGCGTACTACGGTACCGTCCTCGCTTGTATCCACCATTTGTCTGTGTCACAGCATTATTCACCTCGGGGGAAAAATGAACTATTCAGAATCACCGAAATAGCATAACTATGTGTTTACATACCGCGAGAAATGGGTTTATGGACCGATCTTTGCGATCAATCAAACCTGCGCCATTCAAAGAAAGAAATATAAAAACTATCCGAATTTTATTTGCTTGGGGAAAAATGTAATTTGGAGAATCGCGCTCTAGTGTAAGCAAACTTCCCATCAGTTATATGCACTATCATTATCAGCGGGCATAGGGTTATTCCCAAAGGGTTAAAGCGCACACGTGTCACTGCTAGACTAACACCTGATTCTGACAACATGTAGAGTCAGTGAACGAGAAGATCAAACTCCCTGCCTTGGTCGTGTATACATTATGAATTTTGCTTTCCGACAAAAAATTAACCCACGATGTGACAGCGGGGGGGGGGAGGAAGTCCCTACAATGTTGCCTCTTTCCTCTCGATGAAATAGCATTCCGTCACCACGGACGGCATCTACGTTGGGCTCGTGACGGGTCACGCTTCGTCTATCATCAATTGGTTTAAGCGGGAATGGTTGTTTATGTTTCAGAAATATCCAGGAAAAAAATGCTTGTGTTTTGAGGAATGATTAACAAACTCAAAACACATTAAACGCAACTAGGTCTGTCATTCCGGGTGAAATTGTCAATGCTGTGTTGGCTGCATGATCTCCAAATCGAAACTTTCCATTTCCCCTTAGATGACAGACAAAAATGTCGTTTAATGTGCACGTGTCCCGACAATAAAAGTCGTTACACTTTATTCACATTCTAGTCACTAAATATTTCCATTGAGCTTTGCACTGCATCATTCCACTGTGTATTCCACTACAAAATCTCACAGTTTGGATTGTTCGCATTGCACATTATCAGCGATACACAATTTAAGGTAAAACATTTCGATTCAAGTATTAAATTTGTTGGCTGGCCATGTCAGATCACGCTTCTACTTAGGGTCGTTGATGTTTCTAGCTTTTCGAGTTAAGCCACGAAATCTGATTTCATTTTGATACAGCACGAATGAATTTGGGAGCGAGATTAATTAATTCTTCTTCACGTAACTGCTAAAATGCGATATTGTGTAGAAAATACCTGCAGGACTATTATACAAAAGAATGCAATGCTCCCTACTGCGGAATGATGAACATCCGTGCTTGGTAATTCAGATTAACTTAACAAATAGATATTATAGATGATAACAGCATACAGACATAACATACAGGGCACAAAAACAGAACACGTATAATTTGAAAGAGTCAGAAGCATGTAGGACAACCAAAATAGTGAGATCCATCCTCTATTTGGAAGCTTGAAGACTTTCCCCCTATGGTTACGTTCTGTTTGTCTCACTTCCCGCCAGTCTCTGTCGGACAGCACAGCGCCCTCTGTCAGCAACTTCATGGTGGCCTCGCCGCCATCTCTGACGGCATACCCGCACCACGCGGCATCTGCCTACGTGCCGGCCTACGGCACGGCCGCCATGCCCAGCAGTCTGTCGCACCCGATGTGGCCGCCCAATGGCGCCATGAACTGCCCTGGAGATGCCGCCACGGCGTTGGAGAGCAGCAACGTGCTACGGCCGTCCCCGCTAGCTTACAAGTCGGTCCTATCGGGTACATCTTGCAATTCCAGTACTGGTAGGTATGCGTGCATTCTGTGGAATGTTTACTAAAGTGTAGAGAGCCGAGAGATTAGAATAAGGAATGATGGCTTAGGGTGGGTGGACACAGCGAAAGGCGGACAAAAACTGTGGAACTTGGGATTTTGGAACGGGCAGAGTACACCATCTCGCAACTCCTATTCACATTGGCTAAACTTGTGAGTTAAGAAACATCAGAAAGGCTTTTACGAGTGATTTCTGTTGGTTTCCGTTCATTACAACAAAGAAAGTAGAAAGGAAGAGATTTAAAGAACATAACCCTTTGTGCGCTGGTTGAAGCCCCCCATTAAAGGTTGAGGCAGTGTGACAGGAACAGACAGTCACTGTGTGTATAGCTAACAGTAAGCAACCAATACGACGGACTTGCGTTTTGCATTTAGTGATCGCGGACCTAGATACTTGCTTTTACTGTCACAAAAGCACAGTTCGCGCAGTAGGGGGATGTTTGTTGATTTCTGACTAATACAGGAACGTTGCTTTCTCTACTGTTCCCCAGAGCATTCTCTTCATGAACAGAAAACTACATGGTCGGTAGATCCAAAACTCGAAGTTCGCTGATGCACAGCTCGGTAGGGGTAATTTTAGAATGGGTAGCCTCTTTTATTAAAACCAAATAAGCGGGGAAGTTTGCTGCACAGTAAAGAACAATTATGAGATGTACATTATACAAAGCCTGAATAGCAGCCTTTGTCTGTAAAAATCCACATATCAACAAACAATTTTTCTTATTCCAAAAATGGAACCGTCTGTGTTCTCTTTTCATTTTCAAATCTCACGTGTGCAGGACCGGCGGCATCCCAGACAGAAAGAGTTACAGAGAGAGCGTCAATAAAGACCTAACAGAAAACATGTTTGTTTTAATAATCCGTCAACACTGTTGCAAGCAACGCCTGGCATGATCCAGCGTGTGTAGAAGTTGTTTTGTTGCTTGTCAGCTAGATTGAGTTGAACCAAACAGGCTGGGTAGCCCTCGCTGATGCCCTCAATACTTTTAATCCACCTCCACCAGCTCGACGTGCGTAAAACTTGATCCCGCGTAAATTATAAGGACGCTCGCTCGCTTGGGTAACTAGAGACCGGCCGCTTGATGAATCTGACGGACCCATCACTCGTCGCAGACGCCGCTGTCTCGCTCAGGACCCCGCGAAAAGCCCTTATATAGAACCCAACACCTTACTGTGACAAAGAGAGGGCGTCCCAACGGTAAGGCAACGACCGACTCCGCGGCAGTAACACATCTTTTTGCAATCACCTGTGTGATGTGTGCCGTGGACCGGAATGATACCAAAGGTCGACCTCGCCGGAATTTTTTTAAGGGTTGCAAGTGAAAGCGGGGGTAAGGATCTACAGGACGAGATGGTGGTTATCGACCTCCCTATATCGGGCGTGTTGGGTCGAGGGTCGAGGGTTGCACGAGGTTGATGTCATTTTTTGCAGATGACACGTAAACTTGGGTCATCAAACCGAGCGTCGAGTGGGTCTTACTTGGAGCTCAGCGACGTCGAATTCGCGAAGCGCGCGCGGTCTCATGGACGATTGTGACAACTTTAACCGGAGCTTGTTATACTGCGCACCTGGGATCCAACAACGGTACCCGGAACTGATGAGGGATGAATGATAGCGGACATAATTGATATGGGCCCCTTCCTGTCTCTTTACGAGAATTATGGCCCACCCCGCTGACCCCCATCCATTTCACGATTGTGCAGCAAAATAAATGTTTACAAAGAGCAATTGTAGGTTACAGATGTCGGCGAGTTCAGATGGCGCTCAGCGCACGTCAATAACCGTGCGGTCGTCCCCTTAAGGGCTATCATCAGCAAAACGACACTGGTCATAGTAGAGGAAGGTTTGATTAAATTCATAAATAGATAACTCTAATGTTACTTTCCCTCGTTTTTCCCCTTTAATGTCCTCACATGCAGCGTCTGATACCGTAAAGCATCCAAGCTCACCAGTAGGTGCAATGAGAATTGTACAAACGTGAACTGTTGAGGGCAGCATTTCCCTTCTCCGTCGGCTGCTCCACGCAACACCTGCAGTGCCCCGTCGATGGGATGTAAGGCGTTCAACTGTCTTCAGTCAAGTTGTCAGTCAGAAAGCCTGAGTTTACTGCACGAGTCCGGGTGATCAGTGTTTTTCAAATAAACTCCATAGTTTGAGACTTCCCGTTTTCAAGCCGATCGGTTTGCGATGTTACTTGGAATCAAGTTGCAGAGATTGCTGTAGCCTATTTGCTGCTAATCCGTTAGTTGGTGATCCAGGGACCTTTGGAATGTTGTATATTTTGAAAGGAGTTGTATTTTTATTCTTGCCATCGTATGGAAAGTGAAAAACCCAACTTTATGTACAGGTTGAGAGACTGCATGCTAAGTAACTCAAAATTCCTGGACAGACAGACTGGTACCCCGTGTTCGAAGCCATTCAGAACGGTCATCAGAACTTAGAATGACAATGTCGATGCTGGAGAATATTCTTTGCTAACAGTCGGTCTCGTACATAACCCACGGGCGATTATACATTGAAACAAAAAGCGGTTAAGAAGTAAGATTTTCCGGGGGGTAACACATCACACGAAGAGCTGAACGGTCAAGGTAAATGCAAGGGACTTTCTATAGTTTCAGTAGGCCTCAATTTGATACTGCGAACGAGTTACTTCAACGGAGAGAATGTGTCAAAGTATTTTCTTGAATACACTGCTGTGACAAGAAGACGTTTATAACTGGCATATTGTGACGAGCAGGCCATTAAGACTGGACCTGTGTTTGCTGCTCTCTCAAGTTCTTCGCATGCAAGTAGAAACAACTTGTACGAAGTAGTGTACTGTATTCAAATAGACCGGACAAATTTCACTTCATGTCTGCGTCCGTCATAAATATGGTTACAGACTTTTAATAAAATAATCGATGAAGCCTGCTTTGTGAATCACTGGAGATTTGTTGTAAGTCGGTATGAATTAAGCGCTATTTTTAATACTTTCATTTGTCGGCAATTTTTGTGATTGTTTAAGAAATGGTTGTTAAACGGTGTTCAGGGAGTTGTGTAAAGACAGTGTCATTTTGCACGGTCCTAGTTTTAATTGTGTAAAAGTTGTTTCGTAAAAAAAAAAGAAATGCAAATTGTAGTTAAACTGAAGGAAATGTGGAATTCCTTGATGTCGACTAAAAGAAAAACCATTACAAGAGTTGCCCACTTTTAGTTTCCATGATCTTCGGTCACCTAGAAAGGGAGACCATGTATCCACCCCACCCTACCCTTTTTGGTCAATAGAAGCCTGGCCCTGGTTCATGGAAAAAGTCTCTCGCTACTTCTGAGTCCCAATAGTAAAACAGCGTCGGTATAAAATTAGATTCAGCAGCACGTTTCCTGGTACAAAATATTTTCTACATGATTGAAAAGTAAACTACGGCGGGGAAACGTTGTCTTCCCGCGTTTCAGGTTCATTTCAGTCAGTATTTGATCCATTGTCTGCATGTTATCGCCGAAATAGATTGCAGCGCTCCCTATTTTAAAAACCAGGAATTGACAGCACCGAATTGTGTGTGAAAACGCTGTGGTTTTTTTCACTGCCTAGATGAAAAATCGGGGATATGAGTAGCTTATAAAATATTTCGATATAGGTAAATTTCGGACCTGTACTTGCATGCCATATGTACGCCTCACACTGAGAATTTTACTGCAGGGAATTAAGGTGTGCAAATAGCAGTGTTGGATGGGAAGACAAACGTGTAAATAAATTAACATAAATGAATCTGTGGGATATTTATGTTGTTGGGCCTTCTTTTGGGCGAATCGGTGTTTATAAAAATTGTACTGGCCTCGTTTGTGACGTCATAGCGGGAGTCTGCCAAAAGTTTTGAGTACATGACAATAAATTTGTCATTTGGAAAGAAAATCGAGTAAAGCAATGCGAAAATAGAGAAAGAAAATGTCCTCGACGATGATTGTCACAGGGGTCATCTTGCTTTAATTTGCTGCAAGATGACAGTTGTTTTCATGGCTCCCTGATTAAAGGAAAGGTCATGTATGATTGCTGATTGTGTGGCTTGTCGTGGTACATTCATGAAAGCAAATCCACAATATTGTAATAATTATGTTTAAAATGGGCTCTGCTTGTGAATAACAGACTGAATGTCCTCGTGGATCTAGTTCCTTTGAAGTATTGGATGTTTTGATCAAATGTACATTTTGATGTTTTTAAGTGAAACGAAAAATCCCCAAAGTGAGTTAGTTTTTGTTCTATTTAACACAGATAGGCCTATTGGTTACAATTTGCAAAGTTATAAATGTCTTCATGGACACCTTTTCTCGCAAAAGGGACAAATATACAACAAAAGCATGTTGTCCCCCATAATTAAACGAAATACTTAACTAAAACCCTTATTATATGGAATATTTGTCAAAGGGTATAGTCATGGAGTGTTAATAAATTTTGTTATTTTATATTAGTTTTCGAACACAGTTTTCAAATGGGAAATATGATTTACATCATCCACGCCATTTCTATAAATTAGAAGGGCCTTTCTTTGAATGGGCCTCCACAAAAACCAAACACATCTGAAAGTATTATTGTGCACAGTGTATCTCTAGAGCGCCCTCAGTGTTGAAAAATGTGTCAGTCGTTAAAATGAGAAAGATTATCCATTTAATCCCGAGGAACGTAGGCCGTTTTCCATTCCTCAACTTCGTCTCCGTCTCAGGCTTTGTTCCCAAAATCAATCCCCGATTGTGGCCTAAAGCGCTTAAATTACATTGGATTACTGTAATTTTTTGCTTTATTGCGTCTTCTTTGATGTTCTGTGGCACTATTACAATGATAACTGCGCTTACAGCTTCAAAGTCAGCTATTAAAAAAAAGGAAGCCTACGACGGAGACGAAATTGAGTATTAGAAAACGGCCCTAGTCGCCGTGTTTTCCGTACAGCGCCCTCTGCTGACACGAATGAGACAGCCAGGTAAACCCAGTCACGACTTTTGTTCGGCTCAGGCTTCGCCTCTGGATCACCAATATTATGAACATTAAACGGTAACGACTAATTGTAATAAATACTACACAACTCCAGTCCCAATTAGACAGTGGGAAGTTCTGTACCAATGAATAAAGCCAGAAGGTGTCAAGTATAAGGGACTAAACTCATGGAACAGCCGTAGTGAAAAATGTAGCATGAAGCAGCCGAAGAAATAATTGCCGACATTTAGAAGACCCCAGTGGATGACGCCCCAACCTTGGAAAGTAAAGTTCTTGTTAACAACATGTTTAGATCTTAACGTTATTGCAAAAATAAATGTTGCAGCCAATGTGAAATCATAAGCTGTTTTAGGCAATAGTTTTGTATATTAGAACAGTGCGTTCAGTTACCTTCCCCATGTTTACTCGTTCAAGTGCAACTGCGTCGGATTCGACACTCATTATGTGACTTCTCATTATTACTTGGGCCAAGATATCCACCCGCCAAACCAGTTACTTAAGGAACTATCACACAATACCATGCACACCGTGGTGGTCATGGCTGTACGTAAGTTGCAGGAGTTAACTCTACACCGTTGTAAATAGTTCAGAGAAGTATTTGGATGTAGCTGTAATTGAGATGACTCAAAGGTCAGTGAAAAAGAGACAAGAATTGCGCGTTTGGATGTCTGCTGCGTTCTCAGTGCCACTCGGAATCAGTGAGCAAAGTTTATTGATGTATAGGACCTTCTGACTGGCCGAGGATTTTTGGATAACTCGAGATCAGTCGTTTGTAATCACATACTGCGCATGTCCATATACATATGCTTGTGGAGACAGTAAAAGTAAGAGCGAGGGAAGTAATTGAACGCACTGGGAAGTTACATTTGGATCATTTGCACGTGGAGAGGGCGCTATATCCGTGAACAAGTGATGCTGTCTATGCTGCTTTCGCAATTTTTGCGAACATATCCGCCTCAGCATAAAATGTAAAGAAATTGGAATCACAATTCATTCAGGGAAACAGATTTTACTTTAGTTGTACAGTAAGCGCCCCCCCCCTGAAATAAGGAAAAATATACTTATCAAGGGCAAAGCCAAGTTTAATCTTTTAAAATTTTGTTCATATATTTACTAATTATTTTATTTATTGGAATCTTGTAATTAATGATCATCGTGCTAGGCAATCAATTGTTCACAGGTACACGGGAACTGTACAACAGCTGAAAAAAACACATTTAAAGGTGGGTGCCTGCCACTCTAGAGGTCAAGGTCTGATTTGCTTTGTTTCTCTTTTCAGTTATGCAATGCACTGTCACCACCTCGCATACCAATAGAAAATAAACCCTTGGCCAGCTTGTTATCATGTGGCTGCGTACACTGCCCTAAAGTAAATATTTGACATTTTTTGCCTGAAATTTGCTGGAATTTCTTTTTCGTTTCACTCCACGCTTTAGACCGTGTAGCACTGACCGAAAACTGTTTGAAGTGTGCAACATTGTGTACATCAATTATTGTGTTTCAGTTTGTAAATAAAACAAAATCAGTCGGAATGATCCGTTAGTGTGTTTGTTCTTCCTCTGATGCGTCCACTACATTTACATCACTGGCCATAAAACATCTCTGAGCTGGGAAGGGACAGAAATCTTTCAAAAATGCCCCCCCCACACACACACATAAGGAGGCATTGCCTTTTTCTTTTTTTCTGTATCAAGGCCATTCGTTCTCTGCGACACTGGTTAATTAACCAAAATGACAAGTTTCCATGATTTCGCCAGATGAGACGCAAGTCATGAAGGTATCAGGGATTATTTCAATTTAACGCTTGGGGTTGGTAAAACAAACCATCCACTCCCGATGCTCGATAAACCATACACATAACAGCAACACCAGTTGCATTATGTAAGGCAGAATTTTAACACTGCTCTTGTTGGAAGCTTTCCTTCCCGGTTTATAATCCCTCTATCGAGTACCTGTTCGCTCAGAGGGAGGGCGCTATATAGTGAATCGCAAATCTCTTAGGGGCGCATTCCACTAAATCGATTCCCTTGGGCGAGTTCATTAATATTTCGTGATTCAACGGGTAATTTACAATAAAAAGGTGCCAAAATCGGGACCGGACCGATAAGGCCAAAAAAATAAATAGTTTGTCTCTGGTCAGACTAATGTTCCAGAATTGATGCGACGACGCATTTTTTTTCTTCTTTGTTTGGAGTTGGATTGTAAAGACAATTGCAAACACACGTTGTCGAGTCATGAGACTAGACTAGCTTTATTATGATTATCAGCTGACCACAAACAACTTCGTATCCATAGTCTGCAATCACTTTTCAACATCTATCTCGTCGGGATATATTACCCTGAGTAAAAGATCGAGTTGCCTGCAAAAATGTTGAAGCTGTGAGGAAATAGAGGGCGCTGTTGCAGCGCTCGCAGACGGTTGTAGGCCAGTAAATAAACCGCCATAGCCAACAGTGATAAATACCAGAAGTTAAAAAAATCAGGAAAAATACTCACGAGTTTCTCATGCGTTTGAGACGCACGTTAAATTAAAGCCCGGTTTGAGATTTTTAATTTCTTTTCAAATTTCCATTCATTAACCGATGACTTCTGAAGATATTTATTTCCACGGAAGGTTACCCCTAAAATGAAACCTTGAAGCCCCGTACCATATTTGGAAATATCGATGCCTACCCTTCTCGAAAAATAGACCGTTTTCAGGTACCAATTTTTTTCCAAATCTCACTCAGACGCACGCTGGAATTCTTTTTGCCCGCCTAAACATGTATTTTCTACAAATATTCAAATGCATGGGCCACAAAATGCTCTATTTCGTAGAGAATTCGAGTGCATACAAATTGTGATTTGGCCTGCGCAAGCAGTCTCTGGCCCATTAGGCTACTGGCCTAGTTACTAGTGCGCATGCTTGAAATCGACGCGCGCGCGCCCAAGGAGCCTCCTAAGCATTATACCTCAAACGTCTAGTATTACATTCGTTCTATAATGCAATTGGTCTCCAGATCTTGCTTTTATTTCGTCACTAGCACAGTTTCGCTGACAAGTGGCCAGTCGGTGGTTGGCTCGCTGACAAGTGGCCAGTCGGTGGTTGGCTCGCTGACAAGTGGCCTGTCGGTGGTTGGCTCGCTGACAAGTGGCCTGTCGGTGGTTGGCAAAAGTATCCATTTCAACATCGCGGAGATAAATTTGCATAATGTCACTTTCCGTGCAGTTCGTTACCAGCGTGCCATTGATTCACACTGGAACAAAGCATTGCCAAAATGACAACAGCGTCCCCATATCCATGCTATGACTTAGCAACAAGTTGCCTTGAATGTGTCTGCGGTTGACTGAACACAGCAAGGACATTGACACGCTAACCTGTGATAATCGGTCACTAAGGAGTGAAAGAAGCTGGGCATCATGAGCATTGCACCATGATAGTTATGGAAATAGCAAAATCGACAAAGTTTATAGAATAATATTTTCTTTCCTTAAATTCTCACAGACAACTTCCAAACCTGGTAACAATTCCATGAGATTATGTTTAATACATTCATTTCCTTCTACGCCCCTCCACTAGGTCAATGTTGGTGGACAGAGGTACCGCCGATCAATGTTTTGCCACGTTGAAAGGGAATTCCAGGATGCATGTTGATAAACTGTAATTTTTATCACTAAATAAAATGACGGCTACCGTCTTCCTACAATTTATACACGTGAGGAGAATTGTCAGGCCCGGGAACCATGCTACATCTTTAAAAAAAACAAAAACAAAAACAACAACAAAAACACAAAGCCAAGGAAAGTAAAGCAAATCAAGTCAAAACAAAGCAAAGCATACAAATGGTTTTGTTTAGGGCGACCTTTGATTTGTTTTATATATTCATTCATCTGAACGAGCGCCCTCTCTGCGTTTTGTTAATTTCAGAACATGAAATATCATGCACGAGTAGTTTTAGAAACCACAGACAAAACTAAGAAGAACCCTTGCAAGTAGCACAACCACATTTTAACAAGAGTGCATGTTCAGTATCTGACTCTGCTCGCTGGAAAGTTCACTGTACTCTCTGAAAGGAATCGGTCGACCCTTTTAAACACCATGAACGTGTAATTGAAAGAGTGCTCCAACATTTTGAAAGTCTGTTTTCAAAAAGGAGACTCTGTAGGCCCCGGTTTTATCTTTTTCTCTGGAGACGTATTTCTCAACAATAGTGACAAAATTGGTTGCTAAGCCATGTTGCATACTTCTTTTATAGTTTCAAAGCGTGCGCTCTCCAGATGTCGATATTCATCATATCCATTCTTCTGTGCACTTCTCTGTGCAGTTTAAGAAGCCCAGGAGGTTGTTGCGTGCTTGAGCCCAGGAGGCTGTTACGTGCTTGAGCCCAGGAGGTTGTTGCGTGCTTGAGCCAAGGAGGTT